GAACCATATTTGTCCGTATTATCAACGGGACTTTGCGAGAGAACCACACCCACATTTTCAACCATTTTTAGCGGGAAGTTGCCAACAAATGTTCAAAAAATCCTGAATTTTATGGATTTGAATAAAATAAAGCTAGCAATTGGTAAGACTGGTTAATAATATATCCCCCGATGCTCTTCGAATTTTTTTATTTTATTTCAAGGTGAGAAATGGATAATTGAAGTTCCATCGATTTCAAGGCGACTGTTTCACCGCGACAACTCTACGCTGTGTTGTAGTTTCGCGAGGTAAAAAAAATATATAATAAATAGTACTTGTTTAATTATTTGGTTTTACAGCCCGCAAATTACGGGACATGATCCCCATGAATTACGATAAATAAATGCTGATTGTGTTGGATGACGGACGTCGGGACCGTTTGGAATATCGATCCCCGTTGGTTTCTCCAAACAAATTATTGGGACACGGTCGGTAGACATTTCAAACAAATGAAATTATTATCTGTTAAAATACATTTTGTAGCAGTGAGTCACGTCAGAATATTGCTTAAAATAAAATAGTCAATCCCAGCCAAATCTAGGTCAAAGGGTCAGATTGCGTGCATATAATTATGAATAGTTAAAACAAAAAGTATTTGAACTTTTGACGGTTGTTCAACATCTATGCACGGTTACTAAACTAGTAACCGTGATCTATGAAAACCAGAAAATTGTTAGTAGTCCGAATTTTTGCACAGTTGAAAATAAAGCGGAAATTCAACAAGCAGTCGCAAAAGCGAGCAATTGAAAAGCGGAAGCAGGCGAGAGGTTGGGTGAAATGAGTTCTGTACTTATTTGTTTGATGAAGCGATGCTGATGCCACATTGTCGCCATAATGAGGCCACAATGAGGCCACAATGAAGCGAAGCGATAACCGCCTAACTTTTTAATGTCGCGACAGTGATGCGATGCTGAAGCCATAACAATGCCATAATGATGCGATGCTGAAGCGAAGGTGAAGCTGAAGTGAAGCCAAAGCTTTCGCGAGAACTGTACTGTATATGACATCATAATGTTATTGTAAATGACCCTGGAAGCATCATTCCAACATTTAATGTGATCCTGTAGATCCTGTACAGTGTATACTCTACAGTATACTGTAAGAACATAAATTATTCAGCTTTTTTTCTGCTTGTAGAAATACTTAACTATAAATAACTCAAAATTCAAGCCAAAAACGATTTGTGCTATTGTACTTCGTTCAAAGGAAATGTGTGCACATGTGACAGACTTCAAAATGACAATCTGCCAAGTGGTTTGGCAGCCATCTTGCCTCTAAATCAGCCATTTTTAGTTCAAACTACTTGAGATCATCAAACTAGTTGCGTAATGTCATTTACTATGCACATGACAATTTTCGGCTCATTTCGTTCAATCAGTCTCAAGAAGAAGTTGATTAAAGGATTAAATTATAGTGCATTGTGGGTAATTTTCCAGCATTCTGATTTGTCAATTACTTTGTCCGCCATCTTGGATTTAAACAAATTCGGAAGTGATCATTTTTACGGTGTTATAGGGGTCTAGAAATCCAGATTTGTTTGTGTAGCAGCACTGATTGATGCACTTTCTAAATCATGAAAAATATCTTTAGCGGTCAAGTGATTTTGGCTGACATTTTGGATTTAAACAAGCAGCCTGTCGGCTGAGATAGCTCCGCTGTTAGCAATGCACATGGCAATTAAAGAACAGAAGATATCATTAGAAAATGAACAAATCTGAGAGAGGTCCACATGTAGTACCTATATGTATAATATATCAAAGCAATTGGACTTGCAGTTTTCAACAAGAAGTCGAAAATATCACTTTTTACCAAAAATTACAAAAATATTCATCAAAATTAGAGAATTAAAGATATCATCATGAAATGAACAAATCTGAGAGAGGTCCACATGTAGTACCTATATATGTAATATCAAAGCAATTGGACTTGCGGTTTTCAACAAGAAGTCGAAAATATCACTTTTTACCAAAAATTACAAAAATATTCACCGAAATTAGAGAATTAAAGATATCATTACAAAATGAACAAATCTGAGAGAGGTCCACATGTAGTACCTATATATGTAATATCAAAGCAATTGCACTTGCGGTTTTAACAAGAAGTCGAAAATATCAGTTTTTACCAAAAATGACAAAAATATTCACCAAAATTAAAGAATTAAAGATATCATTACAAAATTAACAAATCTGAGAGAGGTCCACATGTAGTACCTATAGATGTAATATCAAAGCAATTGCACTTGCGGTTTTTAACAAGAAGTCGAAAATATCAGTTTTTACCAAAAATGACAAAAATATTCACCAAAATTAGAGAATTAAAGATATCAACATGAAATGAACAAACCTAAGAGAGGTCTACCCAAGGTACATATACACCAAGTATCAAAGCATTTAGGCTTGTAGTTTTCAAGAAGAAGTCGAAAAAGTAAAACATTGACACGGACGACAACGGACGACGACGACGGACGACGACGACGGACAATCACTCATATGATAAGCTCCGCTCGACAAAGTCGACAGCGGAGCTAAAAATCGAAGAGCATCGGAGGATATATTATTAACCAGTCTTACAAATCGCTAGCTTTATTTTATTCAAATCCATAAAATTCACGAGTTTTTCGACATTTGTTGGCAACTTCCGCGCTAAAAATGGTTGAAAGTGTGGGTGTGGTTCTCTCGCAAAGTCCTGTTGATAATACGGACAAATATGGTTCTGTGACCCAGGTTGTGTGCTCGGATCAGGTGACTCTCAGCCAATCAATGATGTTGTAACAAAGCATATTTGACGCTAATTTAAGGGTCGTCGTACCATCCAATCTCCTGCGTCGATTCACATAGTTTGTGCTGTGACAGGCTTCACAATTATTCACTAAAAACATCGGTATATTTTGACAAACAGCTGGGATTTGACCTCAGTTCAAAAAAAGAAACTGGGCTGAGATACAAATCAGTTTTGCAAGTTGGGAAATAAGGTAAACCAGATTAGGGTCAATGATATTCAGTGTCGAATGACTTCCGTGTGTATCGTGAGTTTCAAATTGTTCATCGACTGATCACCAAATATTTACGGCTACAACTAAATGGACACGTTTTTTTCTGAAGCCCAATAAATTATTTCTGCATGTCAAGTACTATTCAATTTTTTACAGGGCATGTGGCTTGTTTTATTCGAAAATATTTTTTGTGAGATACCTATAAAGTACGTATAGGTCGAGCTTAGTCACTGATTGTGACTTAATTTTAAAATTGGATGTAAATTTAC